TTCTTCCTTCTGTCCTTCTAGTGCAGTCACTAGGACTATCAAGCTCTTTTCCTGATAGCAGAATTCATGCCTGTACTGATGGCTGTTTCTTGTTCAGCTGTCTGCAGTTGTCCACTTGTCTTCTCATGGCCTACCTGCAGTGGGCAAGTCTGTCTAGCTGCCTCTTCATCCTTGCTGAAAGCTTCTGCTGATTAACGTTTGTAGCACCAGTCACAAGGATTAATTAAAATCCTCTTGCTTACATCCCGTATGACTTTTTTTGTATCCATCTTCCATCTCTTCACTCACTTTCTCACCATGCTTTTGAGGCCAAGGTATAAAAGTGTTAAGTGGTATTACTTGTTTAGTGATTCATACAAGAGCCAGTGTGAAGAGGTTTCCCTTCTAACCTGTCACCTTAGAGGGGCTATGTAGTTGGGTTTTGTTGTTGCATAGGACTCCTCTGCTTTCTGGTCTTAGTTACCTGTGTTTACATTAGTGTCTTTGTAAGTTACTTTGAAAATAAGCTTATTATCAGAAGCTAATTCTAAATTTTCTGTGAGGTTTTTATTTTGTCTTTGATCAGTATTGTATCACAGAGTTCTTCCTCATAACTTTGCATAAATAAAATAATATCTCCATCACAGCAGTACCCTAATCTAGTTTGTGCTACAGATTTTTTCAATAGTGTAGTGGAAGAGAGGACACGAATAGGCATGCAAGTGGGGAGGGCTGCTAAGCTTGTTTATGTTGTTTTAAAGTAATGGTGAAAACAGACTAAGAAATTAACATTGTTTAGCCTGTTGTGCAGAACTCACCAAGCACAATATGCGCTGTTAACATGTGGACATGAGAGTAACCATCAAGCTCTCCTTGACAACTATACTTCCTACAGGGAAACTGAAAGTGAGGAGTGTTTTGTTCTGACAAGCAAGGTTATTGACTGAAGAAATGAAATGCCTTCTGGCCTGTATGTGCCTTTACCCATAAAGAAGTTTGGGATGTTCTAGCAGCCTATGTAATAGTTTTTGCATATGCTGGATTCAACATCCTCCATTATCTCCTATTGTGCAGCTTTTTTGAGTATGCACGAGTTAATGCTGCGCTTTCATGCTGGCTCATAAGATACTTGACTATTTGAAGAAAAAATTAATGCCCCAGTAAAGATAAAAATCAACAAAGAGGGAGCATTAAGAATTGCAGCTATTCAAAGAACAAATAACTGTACACTTAAATATTTTTTTGAGGTATTAAAATTTTTTCCTGAGTTCTGTTTTTTGAAGCAAAATTCAGTGTCTAGGTTATGTCAGGGCTGTTGCCTTTCACTGAGCCCTCAAATAATGATGTGGGTTTTTTCTTTTTTATTTAAGGTATTTAGCAACACTCCTAACAGACAACAAACATCTTATCCTTGCTAAATTACCTTCATTGCTGTTGTGAGTCAAAGTAGGTGGTATAAATCCTCTGTAAAACACCTTGAGTATTTAAATTTAAAAAAGAGAATAACTTTATTACGAGCTGAGACTAACGTTCTGGTTTAGACCTTCATATCTGGAAGATACAAAGGACATTGTACTCCGCCATGGGTTCTGCTTGTTCTGCTATATGGTATTACGAAAACAAAATCTGTAACATCTGGTTATGCAATTAGCAAGATGTGATAATTGTCACGTGCTTCCATTCCACTGTCTGTACCCAAGAGGAAGAAGGGAAAATACTGAACTCAAAAGCATGATCTGAAAGTCTCCTGGTGTGTAACTCTTCAGGAGGATCTTCAGGAGCAAGTTTAGGATCACTTAGAATTTTATCAAGAGCATTGTATCAGCTGTGACCCTTGAGACTGGAAACATGTCATGGTGCAGCTTCAGTTGTCTCTGAACAGTGGTAACCTGTTGGAGGAGGCAGATGTGTTTAATATCTGGTGTCTGGCCACTTAGATTCAGGGTGCTGATTTTTCTGTAATCACCTTTATATGGAATAATACCATTCAGAAGTATATAGCTTAACCAAGACAGGCGTCTGTGCAGTGGTTTTGGTGTGGTGTCTATAAATAGAAGTAAATTCTGTATATAAAACGTATGTGAAATAATTTTATTTCCTCAATGATGGGTATGCACAGGTATGAATCAAAACAGATAGTAGAAAGGCTTTGGCCAGAAGTGTGATGCACTAAAGGTTTCTGCCTAGCATATGCACCTGAGGTGGTAACAGTGGTTGAAGGCTTCTCTGTTTTGTGACCTCACCTTAGTGCTGTCTCAACACTGCCAGGATCGAGCCTCAGCTTCTATTTTCTGCCGAACATGAGCAGTTGAGTGTTACATACCAAAATACCTCTTTTGCAGGGAAAATTAGTAGACCATTGTGACTATTGTTTTGCTGTTCTTCATCTTGCTAGCTCCACTTTATTTTCTAAAGCTTTCATATAAAAATCTACTGTTGATATAATTGGAACTGTTCTATGGCAACCAGAACGAATTGTGTAAACCATATGGCTTTTTAACTCATGATGTCTTTGGTCTTTTTGAAAAAAAAAAAAGCTAGTCGTTTCTCTGCTAGGCAAACCTTACTCATGACTGACTTGAACTGCACCTAATTAGCAACTGGGATCCACACACACTGTTTAAGAGTGTGTGGATTTAAAATCTTAACTGTGCTTGGTGAATTAAAAGTAAGTTTATTGAAAGGTAGGTGGCTCTCATGCACTGTATGTTTACAAAGGGAACCACTCAGTTTGCTGAACGGAACAACTTTGGCTTCAGCTCTGATTCCTTTCAGGACTGTAAAGAAGGAGCAGGTTTCCTTTTCCAACTTCACTTAATTGTTCTCCTCTTAATCTGAATGTATTTTAAGACAAACTTACATTTCTTTAATAGGCATAGAGCCCTGTTTCCTAAACTTACTGATATCTTAGGTTTTGAATGCAGTAATTGCTGAGCTAGTTTAATAATCTGAAGTGTAATACTGTCTCTGAGGCTAATAGTCAAAAATTGTATTAGCTTTTTAATGGTACTAGTGATTTTTCAGTAATTCAGTATTTTGAAACTTTTTTGGAGACTATTCACAGCTCGAATTCTATGTTAATGTGACATTTTAGTCTTAAAGTACAGAGTTCAGGCTGGAAACTGATTTTTAAAAAATTGCATTTTGTTTCTTTGATGTAATTAGTTATATCCCTTATTTTTTTTCAGGTCAGGTAGAAGTGTAAAGGATAAGAACTCTAGTTTTTCGAACTAGATGTGAAAGAGCATTCTGTATAGCTTTGAAAGTAATAAAAATGATAAGAATTGGTTGAGCAAACCTTGGTTTTGAGACATAATGGTGTGTAGTTAGAGAACTGACTTGTTGTACGTTGATGTGAGTACCTTGTGGAACATATCAGTGAAGATAGATGTGTTACGCAAACTGGAAGTACTTAAAATGGGGGGTGCTCTTTGCTTTTTTGAGAAGTGCTGTGATGCTCAAGGGCACAGTGAAGTCTGTGTAGCCAGTACACTGAAGTCCTGTGTGCACAAGTAAGCTGTCCTATTGGAGTTTTCCATCTGCAGCCCACGGCTCACAGGAAGCAAATAATCTATTAGGTCATGCTGGTTTGCTTAGAGCCATAGAGATCCAAATACATCATCTTATGCACATCACTACAGTCTCTGTAGGACAGAGAATTTTGTAGATTGCTACTTTAATGCAGTTTCCTTAGTAAATCTTATCTCGGCTTAAAGTCAGTTGAGACTTCCAGTTTTTCTTCGTGTAATAAGCAGTTCATCAAACATACTTGCCTGTATACAATGGAGAGTTTCAGAAGTGCAGTTGTGAGCATTGTTTTTGGGTTGAGACCAGAGAGAATGGCTTGCAAGCTTGCAGCTGATAACAAAGCTTCAGTATTTTGCATAAAAAGAGATGATTATTTCTAACTTAGGTTGATAAAGACATTTAAAGACCAGACATGAAGTCAGTTAACCATATGGACTTTGGTAGAAAACTGAAATGAAAACTAATTTACACTGTTTTAAAACAGGAAAAATGGTTTTGAAGTATGTGTTTATAAACCCTGGATGCAGCAGCCTTCCAAAGTCTGAGTCCTTGGGTTTTTTTATCAAGTTTAGATTTACCTCATCTGCTAACCGGGGGCAAAAAGGATCTCTTGTATTTACACCAGTCTCAAGCTGTGGCAACAGCCTGGAGTCTTCCTATTTGTGCCAGTATTGTGGTTATATTTAACATCTGGACTACTTGTAATCATCTGCAAATGGCCCATTAGCTTTTGTGGTATCCTCCTAGCACTGTTCAGTTCAAATACAACTGGGTTTGCAATGATGTTTTATTTAAAAACTGACAACAGTGTGGTTGGGGACAAAAATACCCTTATGAAGAACTCTCTAGTGTATTTTGCTCCAGTTATTCCACTTGAGAAATCCTTGACTCTACTGCCACTTGTATGTCCAGTGGTACTCTTAAACAGCTATTGCAGGGAAACCTACTGAATACCATCTGTGCAAGATTTTAAGTTTACTTAATTTTTAAAACCTAGGATTTTAAGAACAGACTGGATTCTAGCAAAGTAGTTTGTCGTCTTGTGTATTTTCTTTGTGGGCGGGAAAGGCATGTAAGGGGAGCTGTTTTTCAGTGGTATATGGTCATCTTATGTGCTAATGGAAAATTGGCTCACTGCGTTCTCTTTCCTTCCTCTTCCTTCAGTCTTGAAGATTTTACTGTTTTGTGGTATAGTTCCTTTTAGGCATGATGTGGTTCTGGAGGTAGTTTCCAGGGTAGCTGGCAGGGGTGACTAGACTGCATTATCTTTTAAATCTTCTTAAAAATAAGTGTCTTATTTCATGTAAGAAAAATAACTTTAGAACTGAATTTGGAAAGATTAGATTGGAATTGCCTCAAATCCAATTAAGCCACACTGCATGGACGTGCTGGGAATATAAATGCAATTACTGTAAATTTGTACAAACTGATTTGTTGCATTATCTTGCTAATCTAACATACGGTACTTTTTGTGTCCATATTGCAGACGGCAACTCCAAACTAACATGGCAGTCAGACTGTGTGATGTGGCTTCTCTGCTTAGAAGTGGTTCGTGGGCAGCAGAGCCTTGGACTGGGGTCTGTGGGATTTTTCTTAAATTCTGTAGGCTACTTTTTTACATGTTAATAGTGCTGAGGCCATACCAAACTCTTTAATCTCCCATTTGGAACATTAATGCTCTTCTATGTTTCGTTATAGGCTGTAGGTTGTGTCCCTATTCTGTGAGAGCCTAGAGCGCACTGGCGTACCATGACAACTTTTTCTATAATATGGTGATCTCCTGTAGAAATTATCCTGCAGTGGCTTGCCTTTCTTCTAATGTCAATTAGATTTTAGTACTAATTCAAAATACCTGGTGAATAATTGAAGAGTAGTATTGTAATAAAATGGTTTTGGTATGGTCTGAATACTAAATTACAGTAACTTTAAAAACCTGTATACTGTGTATTTATGATTACTCTTTTAAAAGTATATTTGCAAGTCTTATTCTAAGAAATTGTTTGAAAACTGTAAATTTATCTCTTAAACTATTTTTCTGGGTGGAAAATATTTAGTAACTGCTGAAGAAGTGCTTTGTGTTTTATGAACAGTTGTATTCAACCTATCAATGGAATATGCATTATTTGTAAAACATATTAGTATCACTTTATTCAGAGCAGATGGTTCTATAGCTGAGAAATGCTGTAATTTCAGCACGCGCAGGCTATTGCAGCTGTTCACTTGAATGTTGGCTTAGGATCTCATTCTTGCCACCTGAACATGAAAATAAATGTGCAATTAAGTGAGGATTGTTTGTTGTCCTTGCTAAATCCTGCTAATTTTGATCAATGAACACTTTAAATTTGAGAAAAAAGAAAATGAGGAGGAAAAAAGCAGTTCCAGAGAGCCTCAGTCAGAGCGCAGCATTTGTGGCTACTGGCTCTGCCAGATATACTAGTGTTTTGAAAAGTGATTTATCTTAATTGGGATCATCTACTTTCTCATCTTTTCAGAAAACTTGTTTCATCACAGTGCCAGGAGCAGGTTGTCCCTTGGAGTTTGTCACAAAGGAAAATAACGTTGTTCTGGTTGTAGCTCCTCAGGAAAACGTTGTGTTGAAGTAACTTCTTGGAAAATATTTCTGTATGCAGAACATAGAAATGTGTTCCCAGGAAAATTGTAGTTTTAGACACTGAACTTACCCCTTCTCATGTTTTTAGGAAATCCAAATTTGCATTCCCTGAGTACAGTTGACCTAATCAGCTGTTCGGGTATGCACTGATTGCATATGCTGCTTTGAACAGGACAGTTAGGACAGATGACCTCCAGAGGTCCTGACATTACACTGCGATTTTACAATAGGCTTTTTTGTGTGAGAACTCCTAGAAATTTAGGTATGATGTTGGATTTCAGTGATTGCTGGAATTTTTTTAGTGAAACTTCTTGATGAGTCTTGCTTCTGTGTTGAAATGTTTATTACTGGAGAATTAATTTATAGAATTTTCTGTTGGACATTGTCCTATATAGTTGGTCTCAAACAGGGTAGGCTGCCCAAGTCTTGGATATTAGGCTGCCATTAAAAATCCACTGTATTTACCAACTGTTACCATTCAGTGACTGACTGAGATGGTAGAGAGCCTTTTGTACATGTGGTAGCTTGTGGGCAAGTAGTGATATTTCTCCAAATGATTGCTGCTGTATCTGCCAATCATACAGTCAGTTACTTTTAGGTGAAATACAGTAGTTCCTGGAGTGGTTATTACTCCCTTATTTTGATGTCTAAAAGTAAATCAAGTATCGAATTTAACTGTTTTCAGGGTGCAGGGGAGGGAAGAAGTGAGAACCAGGAATTATCAATTTAATCAAATAAAAGCATTTAGAAATCTACTTCCAACCTGTGGTGACAGAAGGTTGACCTAGAGTTTATCAAGGAAGAGTCTGTTTTCCATCCCAGCACATTCATATGTCTCTTCAAGTATCTCTTTAAATTACTAATCTTGCTTTCTCCTGTTGCTTATGAGAAATAGGCTCAGGATACAGTTAACACCCACCTCTTTTTGAAAATAACCAAATACTATCACTTCAAAAGCTACATTTCATCTAATTTCAGTTATCGGTTCTAAGTTAATAAACTGATTACCTTTGCAACAGGCCAATTCTGCTTGGTAACGTATATACTAGAAAGGCTATGATGCCCGTATATGAAGGGAATGGGGGAGGATGGAAACTAGGCTTTGAGTATTGACTTCATTGGGAGAAGATTTTAGTGAGAACTTCATTTGCCTGTAAGTTTTTAAAGTATTGCCTTGACTAATAGTTAAAATCCTTCTGTATTGGTGTGTGGGGGTTTTTTTGCATATAGAAGCAGTATTTGGCCCTGGCAATACCACTTCTGCATAGTGACAGGTCTTCTAGGTTCTTGTCTGGACTCTCCTAATAGATGGTGAAATATGAATTTTGATGGTTCTTGTTTTCTGTGTTTTTCAGCAGGTAATTGCTGCCATGGAAACACAACTGTCTAATGGACCAACTTGCAATAATACAGCCCATGGTTCAACCACCATAAACAATTGCTCATCACCAGTTGATTCTGGGAACACAGAAGACAGCAAGACCAATTTAATAGTCAACTACCTTCCGCAGAACATGACACAAGAGGAGCTGAAAAGTCTGTTTGGCAGCATTGGTGAGATAGAATCCTGCAAGCTTGTCAGGGACAAAATAACAGGTACGTTGGTTTTGGGATTTTCTGCATCTTTTAATTTTCCAAGCAGTGAGCTGTCAGATAGTGTTTTGCAGTTTTGTTAAATCATGGAATAAAGGCAGAAGAAAACAATGCTAATGTCGCTAGTCAGAAGGAACTTAGGTTCATCGTTATCTAGATTCTACACCCAAAAATTAAATGTCTGTACTTGCATTTCATCTAGGTTTGTATGAGTGCTATAAATGCTAACGGGGCATTTAAATCTTCTGAGCTTTGGAGTCTTTGGAAAAAAGGTGCAGATGTATAAATATCTGCTTTTCCACACAGTTGAGTTTTTATTCAACTCCATTGGAGTCATGACTTTATTAGCCCTAGTTGATGCAAAATTGTTTCTCAGGGATGCAGGTAATTAAACTTGTAGATTGGGAAGAGGATGGACTTCATTTATTCAGCTTTGTAGGTAAAGCTGCTTTTGCATTGCAGCACTTGAGCAACTTCTTCAGGATGCACACTTGAAATATGGGCTGTCTGAGAGTGCGAGTATGAACTGCAGTGTGATGTATTCTGTTAGTAATTTATTTTAGCAACAGCTGGTGCACAGGTCGCATGTATTTAAACCAGTTGTTTAACTCTGAAAGAACTACCAGATGGACGCCTGCACTTCAAAACAAGAATGAAAGGATGGCTGGCAAAGTTCAGTTTGTCTTATCTCCATTTTTCAACTCTAAGCTCTCATATTAAAAAACATTGATGTACCACTTACGTCAACATTTCATTAGTTTTGTTCAGAAATTGAATCAGTTGACTTTGGTACATTATTTCCTGGCTTGTTTTTTTTTTGCAGAGTCCTCAAATATCCAGCTTTCTAGGACACATCTTTAACTTACGTTGGTTGCAGCTCTTGAATGTGCTTGTTAGCTTCTGTGTGTTTAGAACTACACCTCTTTGAGGCTGCATGTTCTCTATGCTTTGGTTTCAGGGATGGAAGTCAATACTTTCCTGGTACCGAAAGGTAGTGGCAGAACATGGACATTTTTCTTACGCTAAATAGAAACTTTTGTGAGTTGGTGTTCCCCTAGCAGCAACAGTGGGAAGACAAAAGCTTTAGTTGACACAGATTGTGTCACATGTCTGTATTGATCGCTTGGGTATGCTGGAGAGATATTCCCCAACTGTGTACATGAATAGTGGAGAACAAGGCCTAAAAACCTTCAGGCAGGTCTGGCACCAATCCCAGGACTTGTCTTTGGCATGCAGTGCATGCTTTCTTCTTGTCTTGATGATGTATTTGCTCCTCTAGCATGGCAGAAAGAAGTTATGCCACCTTTTCCCACACTGATGCAGACAATACTGTGTCATGAGTACAAGGATGATGCTTAAACAAGAATCTGGCAGCAAAGAGACACTAAGGGGAATATTTCCCAAGTGTTTGTTCATCTACATCTGCACCTGCTGAGGGTGAGCTAAGTTAGGGATTTCTTCTCCTAAATTTGACCTTCCAGTCTTCTGCACAGTGAGACTGACTTTAGCCAGAGCCTGTACCTTTTTTGAATAATACAAAGTGGTTTAATTGCCAGTGCTCATACCTGCATTCTGCTAATGCACAATTAGTGAAAATACTGATATGACTGAATAATCCCCATCTTTTTTGAGGATGCTTTTTTCTGTCGTCATTCTGTGCATGCTGGAGACAGCATTTGTGACCATGTCTGATAAGTTCTTTACTTGTGCATGGTGTGAGAATAACCTGTTAAATATAAAGGGATGTTTTTGACATTGGTCACTCTTGATTATAGGTCTTGGCTACTGTGTCCTCTAAATAGTTATGTTGTCAAACTGCTTATGTTGCCAAACACTTCTGTGTCCCCAGTCACAAGGTGGATTCTCGAGCCCTACTACTTGGACTTCCTGTAGTTCAGCTCTGTACAGCATCAGTCGATTTTATGCTTCACTTCAGGTACCTTACAAAGTAGAAACTAAAGAAGGAGAAATGTCCGTACTCAGGCCTACAGAGGTGATGCTGTACTTCTGAGAATGCAATAATGGGATTTTTTTTAAGTCTTGATCTTTTCTACTGAGTATTCTACACACAGTTTGTTAATTTGAAAGCAAATTCTCCCGAAACAAGGGTATCCTGCCTGAAGAGTATGCCTTTTAAAAGACAACTGCCAGAACTTATACCTCTGTCTTGGTGAATTCACTAAGCCATGCTTCATGGTTGTCCTTACTTCAATTAGTGATTGCTGACAACTTACCCTCCCTGAGGTAGGGACCATTTAGTGACGCAAAATGAGTCAAGTTAAGAGGCTGCTTAAAGCCCAACACTGATCCTTTGACTTCCTTCTTACTGAATAGTCTCTGGCTGACTTCTGTGCCTTTGAATGAAGGTTGCTTTGCCTTCCCTTTGGATCTGAATGACCAGCGTGTCCTCCCGTAGCAGGTGGCTTGGTCTTAAAACATTAGGTAGTGGAATGGTTAAATCTGTAAAGTACCCTGCTTCATCATGGTAGCCTTCGCTACTGAAACCACTGTTTTTAGTCCTTCTGGGCTGACCAAACCTCAAAGCAATCTCTGCTCTTCACTGTGAATAATATTGAATGTGCTTGGGGATGCCAAAGAAACTAGACTGGACTGATGCCACACCTTGCTGTCTTCAGCTGAAGGCTGGTTGGTGCGGAAAACAAGCCTGTCTTCTCTATAGGTAATGACTTCAGTGCTTCGAAACAAAAAGTTCTTTACTTAGCTGTTTCCTGGCCTTTTGTTCCAGGAGTGGAAACATAACTGGTACTTGATCAGTTAGTGGGGTCGCTATTCAAAGTGTTTATCTCTGTCTTGCAGATCTGAGTTCACATATTTAGCATTCCTTATTAAAGTTGCTTAAGGGTTACATGCTCCTTCCTCAATTAAGAGGCTGCTACAGGCACACAGAAGTGAGCCTCAAGGTCTTAATGATGGATGTGCAAATTGCCCACATCCTTAAATGATGGTTTTGATGTTTTATATGGTAGAAGCTCACATTGCTGCTACTTAGTGTCAAAAGACTCCTTGCCTGGGAATGGAATGGAGCACGACTTAATTGCAGACTTCTTGTTTGAAGGTGTGATGTCTTCTGTATAGCATAAAGTGATGCGTAAGAAGGATTCTGAATTTAAATTACATTCTTAGTAGGTGAGAACTCTGGGGTTGGAACCGTTGGAGATACAGTTGGTGCTTCTCCTTTATCACAGAGCAGCTCCTCAGCTTTGAGGCGTACTTTCAGCTGCCAGCAAAAACATTGCATTAGTCTTGTTCCAAAATGTTTTAGTATAAATAAAATAAAAAAATGTGGTGTCTGACCTTATAACTCCGTTGGGAGCAATACTTCTGATTTAAGTAGCCTGGAGCAAGATTACCTTTTGTTTGTGAATGCTGGGGAGAGAATGCTCTAGTCCCAGTCCTGTTCTTGCTCATTTTCAGGTTTTCTACAGAGAGTTCTTGAAAAATAAATTTTCCTTTTCTTTCTACAATTCATAACAGGGATTGTTACCAGGTTTCTGTGAAGGAAGAGATTTGACATGAATTTGACAGGAATTATGTTGATTTAATTCCTGTGTTAAAATTAATTCCTGTATTTCTTTTTCATCTTAAATGAACTGTCATGAATACTAGATACTTGGTGAGTATCTTTAATAGCTGAGAAGTTTAGGGGAGCGTTGAAATTGAAATACACTTTCATACAAACTAAACTGCAAAAGAGAATTGATAAGGGGAAAAGCTTTGGTCTGCCTTTGACTGTCTAATTCAGGTTGGTCCATATCAGCATTGGATGTATCCTCTGGCTACTTCATAAGGTGAAACTTCATTTATGACGTGCTGGAACTGAGAACTGTTTGCCAAGCAGGTGAGACAGCTCCAGTATAGGAACGCTAAGAAATCTGGTAGTATCTGCATGGGTGAACGAAATGAAACATGCAGGTGAACCACTTCTCAGCAGTCAAACATTATTTGATGAAAAAAATAAGAAATTCTAACCTATCTACCCATATTAGCAGGTAGTGTCAGAGTCCCAGACCATACTCCACTGATGGAATCCACTAGTAAATTTTAAGACATAAAGCCTGCTACGTACTGGGTCACCAGTGCCACATGTTGAAATTCAGAGGGATCAAAGAAGCTGCCATCTTGACCCAAATGCTTGTCAGAGTATCCTGTGGATTTGAACCAAATTATCTCCCACCCTATTGTTTAATATTCAGTCTGCAGTCACATCTGCAACACTGGAGTGCATTTGAGACTACATTATAGCAGTGACCCAGTTCCTTGAAGCTGTTTACACAATTTAGGATTAAGATGAGTTGAGATTGAGGGCCTCCCTGCCTCTGGAAAACCTATTGGAGGGAAGGGAGGCATCCTGGAGTTCACTTTTAATTTCATGTAAGCAGTCTAAAGGGCTGTTTCTAGTAGGGCTGTTCTAGTAGTTTCAGTAATGCTTTTTCCATGGAGTGGAATTTGTTAAAACAACATCTTAATTGTTTCAACCAATGGTTATAGTTCCTTGCAGTGTACTGTCAACATGAAGTTTGTGTCCCTTCCCCTCAGAACTAAATCCCTAGATTTTTATCTAAGGGTTTAGTTCTGAGGGAGGTAGGGAAGAAAGCTGAATTGCAGAAGGTTTCCGCTGGTCTCATCTCCAAGCGTGCAGTTCATGGGCACAACTTGCTGTTGGGGCAACATTGGTAGCTAACGGAGGTTTACTTGCTCAGCTAATGGAAAAAACACTGAAAGTGTTCTCAGCAAGAATTAAAATAGCTCATTGCTGTTAACGTTGTTTTACTGAAGGTAGAGAAACTAAACCTTGATACTAATGAAGATTTTAAAGGGTGCTGAATCAGAGTCTCTTCATGTGAGAGTCCCATCAACAAGAGCAGCATCTGAGAAGTGGGGCGTGAGTGTCACTTACCTTCACTTGTGAACCAGAGAATCTGTCTGGAATATGAGTTATAGTGCCCAGATATTTTGGAGGCTATGGTAACTCTTACATCTGC